CAGCAAAGCATATTTTTTTTAATTCGCATGTCTGTGCATTCCAGCTTCACTTTAATATCCATCCCTGCGAAGATGATCATTATTCGTTTTATTAGATCACCTTTTCTGTCTATCAGTTTTCTCAAAGATCTCTGCATCTCGCTAGTAAAAACGTGTTAATCTCACATTTTTGTTGTTGTTAAAACGGTTGCCAGGGAAACTGCAATGGAAGCCGCAGTTCCTCCGTCAGCAAACCTGCGGCGATAAGTTTGCGCCGTTTGTTCCTGATGTGGAAAACTCAACATTTTAAAGAAAGCCTCTGCATTTAGATTGAATCTCTTAACGACAAGAATGATTAATATTTTTTTTAAGTATTCATAATGAATTTGTTGTAGTTGTTTAGCAGTTATTTCAATTACTATTTATTAAAAAGTTGTACAGTTAAAGAAAACAAAAGAAAAAAAAAACAAAAAGAAAACATCCACAATCAAAGGACTATAAAATGCAATAACAGCATAAAAATTTACAAGAGAGCGATAAAGGCGACTTATCAAAGCACCACTCCTAAAACAAAACCAAAAGAAGAACGCTACTGCTGTGGTTTTTAACTTAACAAATTAAAACAATTAATTAAATATAACTGATTTCTAATATAATGTATCTGTATATAATCATTTATTAGCTTTCGATTCAAACCTTGATCAAATGGGGATGAAGTTGTGCAAAATTTAATTAGGACAATTACATTGCACCAGCATTTATCTTAATGAAATCAGATACGACGCTGATAAGAAGTCGCTTTGTGTCGCTTTGTGAAGTTATAGTTTGTAGAGATTTATACAGTGCTCTGTAAAAACATGCAGGCTAAAATGAAAAAATAAAACAACATACATATGTGAAAGAGGCACATTTTTAAAAAAAGGGGAAAAAAAGGGTGCATCATCTATTTTACAAAAGGAAAATTTTATTAAAGTTAGTAGTAAATATATTTCCATTCATGATGTTAAAATACATTAAAGGTATGGCCGAGGATTTTCATGAATTTTTTAAAAGACCCACCCTCTCCACCCTGTACCCAGTCCTTAAAGGGAACGCCTATTGCTGTTTGCATCGATCTTACAAGCTTACTTTCCAAAATAAGTTTTGCAATTTCCACTATTTCAGACTCGCCACAAGTAAGTGAAAATTAGGACGAACACGTAGGACGGCTTTACGTAAACATATCACCAGAATGATTGACAAGTAGGAGGACCACTTATTTTGATGATCCACCCGGAAAAAGAACATCCTCCACTATACCTTTAAGTCTGGATAGATTAATCTGGAGTATAATATTGGTAGATGTTTATATTTTACGGTGTTTTACATTGCTGATGACTCTAGTTGATCAAGTTATTTTAAATGCATTTCAGTATGTTTTTTTCTTCAATACAATTTAAAATCAGTCCAAACACACAAAAAACATGTAGAAATATTGCTTTACTATCAATGCATCTCTTTATTGTATAATTATAATTTTTTTTTCATGTCGTATACTATAGACTATAGGCAACATATGAAGATACTTTGGTTGATTCACAATAAAAAGCCATAAATGATGCAGAAAAAAAACAGATCCATTATAAGTTAAATGGTAACTATAAAAAAGAAGAGAGAATAAAGCAGCAGATAAAAAATTACAGTTTCCAATTTATTTGATTTGATAAATCCCGTGAGTTCCATAATATTATCTCTATAAAATCTGATAGATGACAAAAATATCATGTGATATGTTGTGATATAAAAAAATAAAAGATGATTTAAAAACGTTTTAAAACATGCTGAGTGTTTAATTTCAGGCACAGAGTTTTTGTGATTTAGTAAACTCTTAGGTCTGTGCAGGCAAACCTACGTTTCATGCGACATCTGTAAAAGGAGCTGATGTACCTTTTTACCATCTGATTGACAAGTAACTCTTCTGAAATCTGAAATGAATGTGTCTCATTCTGGGCTCCACTGTCTGCATGTTACTGTGCAGGGGAGCGTTTTCATCTCTTTGTCTTACAAAATATATTAATTATCAAATTTGGAGAGAAGTTCTATTAATAGTAGTAATAATTTGTCCAAAAAGGCAACACCCTTGCATGGGCCTGCAATGTCTGACAAAGTGCTTTGAATTATAAGTCATTCAGTGTATAAAATATAAAAACTCTGAGTCACAACTTCAACAGATCCATGTTGATGGATCAACATGCATGGATGGTAAAAGAATGCAGCTAACATTAGATGAACTGAATAGCTTTTTGCATTTCTGGCATTTGCAACAACAAACTGTCTTTACAAAAAAAAGCTGTAAACTGTATTCAAAGAATGTAGAAAATCGTTTGTATACTAAAGATTCTTCAATGATTTAATTGAACCTCGGGAAAAACGGGTCTCTTCAGGGCTTACATAACTCTGTACTTGTACATAAGGACTCTTCAAAGAGATGCATCTTCTGTTTTGCACTATTTACTCATCATGTTGCACGTAAAACACACGTGCTGATAAACAAAAAAATGATATGCAGTATCTATTGGCAAGTGTGCATCTGAGTTACATAAGTTTAAAAGGAATATGTGAGTCATATTACTTGATCAGAGATATTAAGAGCCATTCATAAAAAAGAGTATCAGTTCAGATATATTTTATTAATCACAAAAGGAAATTGAATGTTGTAAATCATTCAGGGCGTTCTTCAACAAGTTGCTGTTGATGGCAGGAAGTAGGTCTGTCTCCTGTAGTGGTCTGTCTAACCAAAGGTCTGGAGGGGCCTCTGAGTGAAGACGCTCTGTGGTTGTATGATGATGGAGAGGATACTCAGGAAATTGACCTTTAAGTCACCTACTCTGATGCCTATAGCTCAATAGATTTTGCATCTTGCTGCAAACACCAAACGACCTAAGCTTCCTTTAGAAGTACAGTGCTTTGTCCCTACAGTTGTGTTTCCTTTTCAATTTAGAATAGAAGAGTAGAGGTTTTTATACTCCTCAACCCCATGCATTTCTTATGTCATGATGATAAGTTGTCTTAATTGGTACTGATTTAAAACACGGCTGAATGGATCATAAATGTAGAAAATATTTGCATGGAAAATATCTGCGTTGCCATACTTTATGTAATTGTCAAACCTCCAGCCACTAGTTAGCAGCGCAGTGCCCAAGAGCCTATTGTCCCACAGCTCAGCTTCAGTCCCAGTCGCAGCAGAGTAACAAGATCCCATGAGGTTTATATATTGTTATAAAGATTGCAATATATATCTGTCTTTATATGTCTTTATTAATGTATCGGGATAAAATGTAAAAATTGCTGCTAATTCACATTATTAATGATAAAGTCATTTGAGTGTTTCTGCGGATGACACTATCTGTCTTGGACTGGAAGAATGAACAGAGTAAAAAGTAATGGTGAGAGTACCGTCCCCTGTGGCGCTCCTGTGACTGGTTAGAGAGGCGACTTCAGTCTCACAAACTGTGGTCTGGTTGTCAGTTAGTCTTTGATCTATGCGATTTTTGATGCCTCCACCTGAGTTATATCGTATGTCATGTAAACCAAACAGCAGTCTGTCAGACTTGCAGTCTTTTATGGCAGTTTTTCTCAACCTTAAAGTATCTCGACCCCCCAATGTAACATGCAATGCTATTCATTTATGTCAATTTACATAATAAGACAAGCCTTAACTCACTTCAGCTATTAGTGTCTTTATCATTTAACTTTAAAACACACTTGGATTTTTTTTAAAGCTGCATCAAGAGGCTAACTTCCCGAACAGACCGACAATGGTTGCTACATCCCGTCACTTTGCTGTTAACATGTGATGAAAATAATGCAAATTTTCTTTTCTTTTCAATGAAATAAAATGTTAACAGCATGTGCTAAACTTTAACAAAACACGCTATGAAACACTTGGTGTTTAATTTTAAAGGTCAAAAGCAGAGATGTTTTTCTGCAACTATTAAACATGACGGCTGTGCCCGCTTGTTTTTAAACAGAGCAGCTTCTTGGCTTTAGGTTAGAAACAGCCAAGTGGAAATCGCTCTGATCTCTGAGGAGTGGTGATCTGCATATGATTGTCATGTATTTCAGCACAGAAAAGATCTTTTCACACAGATATATGGATGGAAATGGAAATCAGTGGCAGCTTTTGATGGCAGGTGATGCGTGGTGAAGGTGATGAAAGGCTGGCGTATCTAGTTATTATATTTTTTCTGCTTGTCTCAATTTTTCTAAATACTTATTGAAACTTTCACATTAATTTACACATTAATTTAGAAATTATCTCGCAACTCCAGTTGAGGTCAGGACCCCAAAGTTGACAATGGTTGCTCTTATTATAACCCAATTACAAAAAAAAAATGAAATATATATAAGTAAATATGCAGTACAGTAATCTTTTTTTGCACAATAACTTTTTACGTTAATTTACTGTTATGAATATAATATTTCACAAGAATAACATAATTCTTCTTCTTCTCTTTTGGGTAAATATGAAAACCACATGCTTTCAACGGAAAACAAAATGCTTCCTTGTGTCGTCAATAAGGAAATAAAAATCATTTCCCCACAAATTTCTAGTGTTGTTTCCGAGCCGAAAAAGATGGAATAAAGTTTCAGGGCAAGAGTCCAACAGGCAGCCATTTATATTAATATCCTTATTGAACTTTGGAACGTGATTAGCAGTTGTTACTTGTGTATAATTTTATAGAGATACCTCTCCTACTTAGTTATCAAAGTTTTATAGGGGAGCAACCAAGCTTTTTTTTTTTTTATTAATTATTTAGTAAGACGTGACCAATGGGAGAGGAAAGACGCTACTCTGATCTCTGTGCTGTGATGAAGGAACAAAGTTGTGAAAATAGAGACTTTAAAGACTGACTGGAATAGTTTTCAAACAAGCATCACAATTTCCACACATAAGCAACTAAATGAGAGTTTTGATGAAGTAAGGTTGTTTGAAAATGAATTATAGAAATTAGGAGAATGATCAAAGCTTTTTTTTTCAGACACGTACAAATCTCTCCTTTTTTTTTCCTCTTCGAAGGTTTCCCAAAGACAATAATGCGAGGAAGAAGTGGGAAGTGTCTTTAAGGAGAGAGGGATTCACTGCGAGTGATACATCTGTGCTGTGCAGCGAGCATTTTCAGCAGGATGATTTCGACAGGACGGGTCAGATTGTCCGCCTGAAAGATGGTGTTTTTCCATCGATATTCAGGTTTCCAGATCACCTCCAAGAAGTAGGTGTATCATTTATACAGATTTTATCATCAAGCACTAGATGATAAACATGTCCCACTGTGTTTTGTATTACTGTATTATACTGTATATAATTATATTCATTATGCTTCTTCCTTTTAGCCAAAAAAGTGCAGGACTTCAGTGATCGTCAAAACAGCTGACGTTACTCCGCCTGTGGCTTCTCAGGAGGCCCCAGAAACGTGTACCTCACACCCAAAACCTCAGCCTAATGATGTGGGTATTTCTATTTTGATTTTAGCCAAATAAAAATCTCACTTGTTTGCAGCTGCTCATATCAAGCACACATTAAAACATAACCATAACTGAAGAGACAAGAGCAGAGTTCTGCTGCTATGCAGAAAAAAAACTTGAGTGATACGCTAGTGCAGCGTTTCTCTAACATTTCTACCTATGACTCCAAAAATAATTATGCAACAATTACGCTCCAACCTAGAAATATATGTATTTACTTTACTCTAGATTTACCTATACATATAAAGTAAATTCTATTATTTTGTTAATTTTAAATGCAGTTATAACCCTGTAAATTGACATTAAATTATTTGATTGTATATTTTAGAATTGTATGGTCAAATTATTAATCACAAAGTAAAACTATTTTATTTGAATAATCTACAGTTGCTTCCAAAAGAATGAATACTCCTTTTCGACATTTAGCCTCATTACAACCACAAACATAAATATATTTTAATGGAATGTTATGTGAAAGACCAACACATGGTGGTATACAATTAAGAAATAGATATAAAACAATACATGAGATTGTAAAAGTATTTACCCCCCTTTTATCGGGGTCAACCAGAGGTCTTCGGTTGTTGACGGTGAGATGAGATGATTGCTAATTACTAAATCAAGTCCACCTATGTGTAATCTAATCTCAGGACAAATACAGCTGCTCTGTGATGCCTCAGAGGTTGGTTAAGAGAATATCAGGGATCAAACAGCATCATAAAGTCCAATGAACGCACCAGACAGGTCAGGGATAAAGTTGTGGGGAAGTTTAGAAAAGGCTTATGCTATAAAAATATTTCCCAAGCTTTAAACAGCTCTGTTCAATCCATCACCTTGAAATAGAAAAGTTATAACGCAGCAGAAGAAAATGACCAAGACAAGGAAACTAAACTTCCAGGTAGAGCATTGATCAGAGATGCAGCTTAGAGCCTCCTAGTGACTCTAGACCAACTGCAGAGATGAAAAACTCAGATGGGAGGACCTGTCTACAGGACAACAGTTAGTCATTCACTGCACAGATAAGGTCTCTATGGAAGAGTAACAAAGAGAAAGCTGTTTTTATAAGGAACTCATAAGAAGTCCTGTTTGTATTAAAATTGAGCTTTTTGACCAAAATTTAAACTATTATGTGTGGCAAAGAACTGACACTGCACACAACTCTGAACACATCATTCCTACTATCAAATAGGGCGGTGGCAGCATCATGCTCTGGGGGTGCTTCTCTTCAGAGCGGACAGGAAATGAAACCAATAAAGAACCATCTAACAAGGAAACCTGGTGGAGTCTGGAAAAGAATTGAGACTGGAGCGGAGATTCACCTTCCAGTAGAAAAACGACCCTTAACATAAATCTTGATCTGTATAGCTTTACTTAGAACTTTTCCCTACAATGGAACGGTTTCAAGTAAAACATCTTCATGTGTTAGAATAGCTCAGTCAAAGTCTGGATCTAAAACCAATTGAGAATCTGTGGCAAGATCTGAATAAACGCTGTTCACAAACGCTCTGCAAGCTGCAATGAATGAGCAAAGATTTCAGTCACACAACGTGCAAATCTGATGAAGACAAACGAAAAATAGTGGGAGCTGTAACTGCAACAAAAGGGGGTTCCACAAAGTATTGACTCAGGGGTTGAATACTTTTTACACAATTCCATTTTTAGTTTTTTATTTAAAAAAGAAATCTTCATAACTGTGTACTAATTTATGTTGATATTTCATATAAAATTACAATAAAATATGTATGGTTGTAATGTTCCTATATGTGTAAAAGTACAAAAGGTATGAAAACCTACTGAATATCTACTCATTTTGTAGTAAATTTGTTTTATTTCATTCATATTTCTGTATTTCAACACAAGTAATAGTGAAAACCACTTGGTGTCTGAGGGCCACTACCTTGGGGAGCCCTGCTGTAGCGGCGTGCTAACTTCCGCCATCTTTCCACCAGGATCATTGCTATGCTTTGCCTTCCTCTCTTACTGCCGTTACGGCTAAGCTGAAGGAGGCTTTGGCGAGGGTGGAAAGTCTGGAGCGGGAGAGGAAAAACGCCATGGCCAGGGAAAAGAGGGCAAGGACCATAGTTCAGTGTCTTTTTGGGGAGTTGAATGAAAAGAAACTCCTTAATAAAGGGCTTAAGGAAAAGCTTGAATTCTACTCAGGTAATATGAGATTTGCACTACAAAGTTCACATATTCTACTACTCCTTGGCCATTATGTGAAGATAATCATTTTTGTTCTTCAAATTCCAGATCTTCAACTGGACTTCATGATGCAGGGCAATGAGTACACAAAGGAGCACAAAGAATTCGCCCTAACGCTCTATGTGCACGGACCAAAGGCGTACAAATACCTCAGGAAGACAGGAAAATTTCCCCTCCCACACCCACATACTTTACAAAGGTAGCCTTCATATTGTCCAACTGATATTTATTGTTTTAGGTTCTGTATTTTCCAGACTATAGAATGCACCTCACTGTAAGCCGTACCCACTATATATGTACGTTTTACTGGAAACACATATATGGGGCCAGGCTTGGACTGGAAACAATTTTCGGCCCTGGCACTTTTCTATCCAACCCCCCACCCAACCCGCATGCGTCTCATTGTGAAACACAATACGAATACACATTGTGGATCAACCGATCTATCCTTAAGCATCACACGACAACCATCACCAAGACTTCTATAATGCGGTTTTATTGGCTTTTGGTTATTAAAAAGGACAGTGGCTGCAAATGCGTAACATCCACACTTGCACAAAGCCATCCAGGCACCCACTCACGCATACTTGAGTGACCAGATTTGGGTTTCTGAAGGGGGGGGTAGTGTCAGGGTTAGTTTCGGTCGCTCCATTCCCCGCTAGCTCCGTTTCAACTACGTGCTGCACTGTAGTCAACCAAATCCCAGGACCATTTTGAAATGCCCCCCGGACATTTTTTTAGGTCTAAATGATAGGCCATGTCCGGGAAAAAGAGGACGTCTGCTCACCCAACACATACACATACATACTATAAGTGTTGTAAAAACATCAACATAAAACAATATAATATAGAGGCAGACAGGCAGTTCTTCTCTCAGCGGTGTGTCAGCATTCACTGCGAGTCTAGGTGGCATGTGGGCAATGAAATGGAATAATGTAAACAGATGCAAAACCCCATCATGCACTGCAACATATTTTTGCAAAATATTCTAACATAAATTCGCCAAATATAAGAGGAACATCATAGTGTGGTGTAAAGAAAGCATTTATTTTTTTTTTTATAATTTAGTTTGTTGCAAGGATTTTACAGTTTGAAGAAAAAACGTACACCATATGCCAACCGTCACAAGGATGTGCATGACAAGGAAGGCCTATATATATATACTGCATGCATAATTAAGGCTGTTAAGATTGTATTACTTCTTGAGATTCTTGAGTTATTTACTGTCATAGGTAGGTGCTTCGGCCGGAGAGTAAAGCTACGTTTACACTGCACGTCTTGATGCTCAATCCGATTTTTTTGTGAAATCCGATTTTTTTTGCGTTACCGTTCATATTTCCAACTATATGCGACTTGTATGTGATCTCTTGTGTGAACTGCAGTCATACAACGCAAGTGTCCCGCATGCGCAGTAGAGGTTCAATGACGTTTACCGGAAAAATTCAATCTTTTCAATATGGTTAAACATAAAAACAGCTCTCCCGCCCATGGGGCAAATGCCCAGTAATACAGATTACCAGACCGAGTCTGTATAGGCCGTACTTGACTATAAGCCAATATCTACTGAACTGTCCCCCACTGTACCAGTAGGGGGAGCTCTACATATCACCCCTAGAGGAAGAAGAATGATAGCTCCCATTAGCTTGTTGGCTCGTGACAATAAGAGCTTTTAATGAAAGATGGGGCTTCGCCAGCTCTATATTTCAGCTCTTCAGAAGTTACGCACAGTCTCTACATTAGTTTGACCGTATTAATACGTCAAATAAATGTCAAAATGTGTACATTCTGGACATTTTGTTCTCTGTTGCGCCTGCTGCTAGCATGTGCTCTTGCTAAATGAAAATTGTCCCCTTCTTCTATGATTTCAAACTTTGTCTACCGCCCTCTGGTGGTTAGGAAAAATCCACAGAAAAGCCACACCTTAGTATAAGTATGGGGAAAACAGCCTCTTATAGTCTTGAAAAAACGGTAAATGAATGAAAAACATTAAGGAGAGAAAGGTAACAATTTATTTTTTTATTTATTTTTTTTTTACACAGGTGGCGATGTTCAATGGAGGCTAAATCTGAGCAGGTACCAGACTCTGCGAAGTCCACGAAACGTCGAGAGGACAAGCAGATAAAAAGATGACATCCTGTCTGGTGTGAAGATGTCCTCTGCTGAAGAGCAGATGTAGGAGGATTTCATCAGAGATGTTTTACTATCTTCGTTTTAACACAGCTACCAGCTTATTACACTGAAAAACAATGGTGGCCTAGTGATCCCATCGCAAGGTGCAGAAAGCGACACAGAGAGCAATTGGAAGAGCATCAAGAGTGACCTCCAAAGGAGTCCACCCCTCATCAGTGAAGACGTTCAAACAGAATGCTGTTCTGCTTAGGAAATGCATTAAGGAGACACAATTTGATAACCTTCATTCTGACTTATTGCCATTTTGTCTGTCTAAAAAACAGACATGAATGGCAGTACAAGGAAAACATCTCTGCAAACCTATCCTGTTCCAGGGGGCAGGACAGGTTTGCAGGGTTTGGGCTCAATGTAAAACCTTTATGAGACACTGTACACATGCATATTTGGTTTGGGGTCAGGGCAGATAACTGGATGTAGCCTTTACTCTGGTCTTGCTCAGCCACAAAACATGACTGGGCCAGACTGCAACTAGCAATCAGGTCTGCAGAGACGATTATCAGGCCTTTCTTACCTCTGACCAATAAGTAGACATGTTTATGGTTAGAAGACAGACTGCAAACATCTTTGCAGACCCAACATTGTAACCTTTGGGTAGTAAATAGACTAGATGCACAATATTAACGGTAAGTATTAGTTCACCTGCGTTGCTTTACAATATGATCTTAAATGACATCTCATTCTTAATCTACAGGGTTGAGTGTTGGGTTGTTACGCCCTTTGCCGTCATAACATCTCTAGAAAGGCTGTCCACATGATTTAGGAGCATGTTTATAGCTTTAATTGCTGAATTAAATGTTTTTGAATTACAACTGAGCTGCTGATCTGTTCTAGAACCTGATGATTTCACAAAGAATAATTCACTGTTAAACAACAGTGGCTTTATTCAAAGGCTTTTCCAGATAAACACTGAACTCTACTGATCCTTTCTGCCTAAAGATAACAAAAACACAGCAACACCATTTTAGTACCACATTTAATCACCTTTGGGGTTATTAAAGTATTTCTGATTTGTATTTATTCCAAAGGTGTTCTAATGGGTTGAGGTCAGGATTCTCTCACCTATCTTTGTGGACCGTGCTTCATGCAGTCATGATGGAAGAGGAAGGGACCTCCAAACTGTTTCCCCACATTGAAAAGTCCAGAATCTATTTGTCTGCTGAAGCATTCAGAGGTCCTTTCAATGGAACTAAAGCATCTGATAAGTATCCCAACACCGTGTCCTCCACTAAACTAAACTTGGCACAGAAGTCAAGCAAATACTGATCTCCTAGCTACCACCAAATTGCCAGATGGAGTATTTTGATTTGTCTCCACTGCTCTACCTTACGCTTCCTCCAACGCTTTGCATTGCACTTTATGTATTGCTTGAAATTAGCTGCTCAGCCACAGGGAATATTTAGGAGTGGGGAAATTTCATGACATGACTTGTTGCCCAGATGTCCTCTTATCACAGTACCTTGCTGGAATTCCTGAACTCTGACAGTGACTCATTCGGTTTCCAGAAACTGTCTTCTTGCTAAGATGCATGTTTTGAACACCTGAATTTAATTATTTGGTTGAATTAGCTAATAATTTTATCAATAAAGTTAATTCCAAAGCAAAATGCATGCATCTATATTTTTAATTGGAAGTACTTAAAGGACAAGATCATCAGCAAACACTCAGAAACCATGGCAGTTCTTTTATTCAGATCAAAATCAAGAATCACTTACATAACTACACAGACATCACACAATATGTGACTCATTGATCCCGTAATGATTGACTAATAGTTGAGCCGTACCTCCTGCACTCTGTTTAAACGCTCACTAAGCTTAAAAAGCTTGGACGCCTAAACTCTGGTTCAGGTACTCTTAAACTAATGGATTCTCCTTTGGCATCTGGAGCTAAAACAGCAAATAAATTAGAAGACAGTTACCGTTTGCTTTACTCTCTTCGCCACAACAAAACATAGGAAAGTAACAGAATAATGGAATGCTATCTGAATGCAGGAATTAGAGATTTCGCTCCAGCATAATTACTACATTCGTTCCTAGCCTTTAATTAGGTCCCAATAGAGAGGAAAAGCTTTAAGGAAGCAGGTCAGATAGCCAGCTGAATACTGGAAGCTTTATTTTAAATATCTCCTGTGGCTATAATTTCAAATAGCATCCCAACACTTAAGTGTTAACAACTACTAGCACTGTCCATAGGAAAGCAACCCCAACCAAGGTTACAGATTCCTGATTACTGTTTAGTCATCATGGCACTTTAGTGAGAAAATCAACAATCTGTGGAGCTGAAGGGACTGCATGCTAAATTACAGCTGGCTGCTTATTCACAGGGTGGAACGGAGTCATTCGATCCTGTTAGCACTGAAAACACTGAGGCTCATGAACAGGAATTGAACATTTATCACTTTGAGCATATTATGTCTGCAAAGAAGCAAGATTTAAATACATTTGTATTAGTATGAACACATTTTGATTAGACTTAGAGCAATAGCAAACAGCTCTGTAGTACTAAATGTTACTACGACCCTCTCATACTTCTCTAATAAATAATGCTGCATAACTAGGAAGGCGTACTTTGTCACATTGCATAAAACAACCCAAGGCACACAACTTTTCCCTTTGTTTACGGCGCAGTGCAAAGGCAGAAAACTCGGGATCAAAGACGGCTACCAACTGCTTATTCTAACGGTGTGTACTTTAATGTTGAAAAGCTAGAGGAGGTTGTGACGTGACACCAACAAACTAGTCCAAGCTCTACTCGGTGTGTGGAGTCGGAAAGAGGAGGGACTTAATGCAGAAACCGGATGCTCATTTTCTGTTCCACGTCCACCTTTTCCAAGACCTGGAATATAAAATAGATACTGCATTACAATTCTAACCCATAATCAATTATAAAGCAGAACTGCATAAACATAGAAATCCTTCATGGGAATCTGCTCTGAAAAAAAAAAAAAAAAAAAAAAAAAAAACTTCCACTAAGCTGTGGAAAACCTTGTGTCCTTTTACCAATTTTTTTTATAACAGTGGTTAAACAGTACTGTATAATATGTCCACGATTTAGATAATGATATAAACCCTATATCTATAAGCTATAAACTCTTTAAAACCTTAAAGCATTAAGTTTGATTACATGTTCTTTACTGTGACTTTTAAAGTGAACAAAGCAGACAATCTATATATGAGACATCTGCCACTGGAGTAAATCAGCCAAACACAGCTCTGTAAATAAAATGTTATATTCAACTAGTTGAGAAATATATATATCAACTAGTTGAAAGAGGTAAACATCATAAAAAAACAAAAGTCTGAATAAAAATATAAATATAACACATGGTCAATGAAAAGTTATTCTAAATGATGTCAGGATTCTTTTCATTATGGATGAATTGCTGCATTAATGCAGCGTAGCGTGGAGTCTGTCATCCTGTGGTTCTGCTGACGTGTATTCAAAGCCCAAAGGTACTAATGGTACTGTTAGCCAGTTTAAATCTGAATCAAACAAACCCCATCAGCCTGTCATTCATCAAAGGTTTGGTAAAAGGTGGAAATGCAGGTAGAACCAGACAAGAGAAATCAGCATCTACACAAAGCCTGTCAGCAGAAGGAAGCATGAAGTGCTTTAAAGCCTAGATGTCTGTGTTGACTGGACCATAGAGAAGTCATTATCACTGAAACTTGAATCCTCACAATGGATTTAAAGCAAGATTTGCTTCGATTTGGTTCTTTTTCACTCTTTCAGACTGAGGCGTTGATTTGCAAATAAAATCCAAACTTTTCTTTCATCTAAAAAGTGGACAGTTGTTCTTTCTCTTCACAGTTGAGCTTTGGACATAGTAACCCATGTGTAGGATTTGTCTATCCTTAGAGGCTTGACATTCTGCTATATGCTGTGGGTTATTCTATTTGCTGGAGCATCTTTTCAACAATACTTTCTTCTCCCACCAAACGTTCTGAGTAGGGATGCATGATATTGGGATTTTGGCCGATATGCCGATATTTTAAAACTCATGTAGCCGATAACCGATATCGATACCGATGTTAAAGATGGACAAAAATAAATAGTGATTGAAAATAGCAGTTTTGTTATCCATTTCTGACACTTTGAAAAATAATAAACTCAAATATATTTTCATATGCTGATATCAAATAGATTTTTAAAAACGCGGTATCGATCTATTTTACTTTCAAAATCTCGTGAAATTTCATCGTTCTGTTACAAACTCTCGTGATATTTTGCAAATTCTTGTGAGATTTTGTCAGTAAAATAGATCGATACCGCGTCAATATATCAACATACAAAAATATGGCAAAATTTTGTGAATTTTCGGGGCATTTCGTAGCATAACGATGACATATAGCAATATTTCATTAGTAAAAGAGATTGATATGGTGTTTTTAAATGGCAATATATCAGCATATGAAGATATTGTGATATTTTAATGGATCAATATTTTTTCCCTCGTCTTTCGAAGTTTTTAAGTCTGTAAAAAATAAGTTTTTGAGGAAGAAGAAGAAGTAGTATATATATATTTTTTTTTTAAGACTTCAGAAACTCAGAAGCTGATCAAATATCGGGTTAAATATCGGTGGGGTGGCCGATGTCCGATATTCAGTTTTAAGGCCGATACAGGCCGATACCGATAGGGGGGCGATTATATCGTGCATCCCTAGTTCTGAGTGTGCTTGGCTACAGAACTCCGAACAATCAGCGTCTGCAGGTACGACCTTTCGTAGCTAAAGGCCCTTACTGGATTGTCTGAAATAAAACCATTCATATATCCGAGTTTCACTTTCTTAAATGCGTGACAGAAAATAAGCTCTTTTGTGATTTTCCAACTGAGATGTACCTGTAAGCACAGTCCAAACCACAAAGACAGGCAATGGTTGAATGATGACGTGAATACTGAGTTGAAAATTGAGGCTCTTTAAATTGTTTGCTTAAGTAAATCTGTGTTCAATTTGGGTCAAATGACAAATAAAAGTAGATCTTAAAATAAACAAAACAACAAAAATAATAAAATACAGATGCAGAAAAAATACAACAAATCAAAAACACTTGCCTTCATGAATTCCTGAAAGGAAATACAGCTATCTCCATTGGTGTCTGCCTCCTGGATGGTTCTATCAGCAATGCTGCCAAGCTGCTCATCTGAAATGTTTACACCGACCATCATCCGAAGGACCTGAAACAAACATTATGGTGTTATAGAAACCTACTGTTAAAGACAAAATCCCCATTTAGGCAGAGATTAGGAAACGTGGTCAAAACAAGCCTAACGGTTGAAGAACTATAGCAGCATGTGATAATTTCTAAATATTTAGCTCTTGGGTAACTAATTGTAGGAATTAAGGTCTTTTTTCGTGGAAAAGAACATAAACAGTATTTGACGTTTCACATTTAGCCTGAATCAGAGAAGCCAGGTGACAGAAGTGGTGGAAGGACTGTTTTGCGCAAAACAAGGATTGGGTCACTAAACCAGCAGCTTACACCAATTACAGGTCACACAATGTCACCTAAATCAGAGTGCCTTTGCGAGGAGATGACAAATAGCAGGGGTAACACAAAGCAAGTTAATAAAGGGCCTGAGAGCTCCACCTGAAGTTAAGGTGAGATATCATCTTATTATCAGAGAAAGGCATTGTTTATTGCCCGTGTTCACCAACTTTAAAATCAAGTTCTGTTCAGCACCTTGAAACAGAAACTGCAAGACATAATTTAGTCAACATGTAGGAAACAAAAGCTGGTTTATTTGTCCACAGTCCAAATGACAAAACTGGTGTTGGAAACCAACTGAAACAGATTTGCCTAATGTTAA